AAGGCTACCTGTCCTGAGCCCAGAGAGCACAAGGCTAACTGGAGGCAATCAAATGCCAGAGAGGGTAAATGACAGCTAGCCATCTCCTGTACCAGCCACATAGCCCAGTCAACTTGGGTCCCCTGATCTCCCTATCAGGGGTGACCTCCACTCTCTTGATGGTCTCCACTTCCTATAGCATTCTTAGACACTGGCATCCAGCAGACAAACCTCAGTCATCTTCTGTTGCCTGAAATGAGTCAGTGACTGACTCCAGTGACTGAGCCTGCAACCGGCTGACAATCTAGGAGGGGCTCAAACACTGAAATTTGAGGAGCCTCTCTCTGCTCCCAGCACCTCTCCACTATCCAAATGAACCACCTGTCTCACCATTAGAGTTGCCGTCCTTCGGCACTGCTACTCTTCTCAGAAATAAATACATTTTATTGTTTTACAAAATTAATAATGCCCATTGTAAAAATCTCCAGCAGCATCCTATCTCCCTTTCAAATGTCAATCTCTCTCTATGAGTGGGTGAGACTGGATCTCTCCCTAACGTGCTGGTGCAGAGGTCTGGCTTCCAGGCATGAAGGGGGCAGCGTGGGCGGATCAGGGAAGGAAGTGATGCAGGGATTGCTTTTGCCACCTAGGTCTTGTGCTCCCCGGCTTAGTCCTTGAGGCGTGTGCTTTCCTGTTCACCCCAAACCTCCAGCACCCTTCAAGTGCAGGAGAATCCCCCACAATTCCAGCAGTGATGGCAAGTGCCACCCAGGATCTCTCAAGGGCTTTTGGGTGGGGCCCCAGAACCAGCAAGGAGAAAGATGGACAAGAGACCCAAACAGAAAGGGAGTAAGACAGAGCAGAGGAACCCAGACTCCTGAGCTTTTGGCTCTGGGGAATGGGTGGGAGATGCATAAGGTGAGAGAGGGAAGCAGGGCAGTGGAGACTGAGAGGCCAAGGGGGAGGACGGGGAGAAAGCAGAAACTCATCAGGTGTAGAAGCAGCTGCAAGCTCAAGGCAGGCACACCAGCAGCCTGGAAAAGCAGCCTGGCCCCAGCCTCAGCAGAGGGAAGGGTCACCAGCAAAAGTGGGGCTGAGCTGGGGCCAGGGGTCCATGCCTGTAGAGCTGACCTGATGTGCCTGCCAGAGCACCTGAGAAATACGGAAGAAGTAAAAATGGCCAGACACAGGATCGGACTAAGTTCCAAGTTCTGAGCACCTGAAGAAGATTCTGAAGTTGTGGGGGTGGTCTTGGGGGTTGGGACTATTTACCTGAAGGCTACAGGACCCAGTCCTCAGCAACACGGAGAGTTGAGAAGTCAGTTTTACCTGCTAAGCCTCCTAAAGGCATGCGGAAGGTGAGTGGGGAGGGTCTAGAGGGTCCCTGGAGAAAGACCAGATCAGGCCCACACCCTGAAAAAATGGCAGGAATTAGAGGGTGGCTGAGCAAGGCAAGGCCAGAGGGATATAGAGGGATCCCAGCCTGTAGGGGGCAGGGGGACAGCCTAAGTTGCTTTCTCAGTGGCGCTGGCCCTGCTGCATCTCCACGGTAGACAAACCCCAGGTTTTTCTAGCCCTTTCTGGTTCCTTTAGGGCCACTGCAGCCTAAAGCCCAGCTGGGATCCCTGCTTTGTCTCCTTCATGGCCTCCACATGTCCCCAGGATCTAGTGGGCTTTAACTTTCCCCAAGGAGCAGGTCTGGGCACAGGGAACTATTGCATCCTGGGCTAGAGTTGGGTGACACTCTGCCACCAAGAGTTTTCTGGGCCACATGGCGGTCCAGGTCCTCCACTCACTACAGAAAGAGCGGGGAGAGGGCAGGTCAGGAAGGAGTGCCACGAACCCCAGCTCTAGTTAGATGCTCCTTAGGACTAGGTCTCCTGAGGGTTTCTACAAGGTTCAGCCTGAATTGGGGATCCCTCTATATCTCTCATGCTTAGGTTTCTATATCGTTTTACAAAGAAGAAGGGGCAAAGGACACTTCCAGGTCCCTAGGATCCTGGCTGGGTTGAGATGACAGCGAGACCGCCAGTGTAGACTGGCAGTGGAAGCAAGGTCGGCAGGCGCGGGACTCTGGCCTTCCCCACCCGCTGCAGCTGCCTGGCGAAGAATCTCGGATCCTAGCAAATTCCCGGATCCTATCGCCCACCCGCTGCCAGGCGATCTGAGGTTGTCTAGAGCTCAGCGTCCAGATTACTCTGGGCGGAAGGGTCCCCCAGAGTCAAATGGCGGTCCAGCATGCGTGCACGCGCGCATAGCCATATACACACTCAGCAAGGCCGACCCTATATATGCCTGCCAAGTGGCAGTACCCGGATATCTGGAGCACCCAGCCTTGCTCACCCAGCACGCGCAGGAGGTAGACTGGCAGGTCGTGGGTGGGAGCCAAGCGGCCCTGAACGACCCTCTCTCTTTCTCTCCCCTCAACCGCTTAGTTCCTCACTGGATCCCGGCGCCGGGTCACCAGGGCCGCAGCCCCACTTACCAGACCTGCAGAGGAGAGAGCGCCGGGACGCCTGCGGCCGCCCACTCCCACTCCGCTCTGAGAGAACGTGAGGAAAGAATAAAGCGCGAAGGAGAGAGGGCACGACTGGGAGCTCCCCACAGTTACCAGGGGCTGGGCTCTAGTGCTCACTGCCCGGCTCCCCCGCAGCCAGGGAAAGGGAGGTGGCCTCACACCCCGGTCCTGGCCCCGCAGGGCTCTGCACTCCCGCAGAATAGCTGGCTCACCATGAGGATTCGTGGGCCAGGAAGCCCATCCATTGACCTTAGAAGAGACCCCAGGATGGAGACTCAAATGTCCGACACAGATGACGTCATTTGTGAAATGAAAATTGTAAGCGTGAACAGAAAACACGGCGGGGTTCAGCAAATGCTGTTCCACTTTTCTTTGAACAGAAATCTGGACATCGAGTGTGGCAAGAGAAACAGGTTTGGGGACCGTGAAATTTTAAGCTGAGTGTTTGCTTTCTGCTTAGAATTATTCTATGCTAGATGTGTCTTATTTGAATAATAAAAATAATTAAACTTGAGAGAGCCAGAGAGAACAAAGACTGAAGTGCAAAGCAAAGATGACAGGCTAGATCAGGCAACTAGCCCTCTACTGTGTGTGCCAGGGTGGAGGATGCAGTGGCTCATGTGGGGGTCCCTGAGGAGTTCGCTTGCCCCTCCAGGAGCCAGGTTCAGAGGGACCACGTGCAGGGCTCACCGAACATAGGCAGCATGGGTCCTTCCAACAAAGCTCTGTCCCTCTGGGTCACACTCCCCAGGAGGAGTTAAACGCACTCCTTTATAAACTTCCAATCCCCGGTGCTACAAACTCTCAGCACCAACAGCTAGCTGGTTCCCGCTCCTCTCCCTCCGCACACTCTACCTCACATACTTTGAAATACTACGGCTCCCCTCCGCCTCCCAAATTACCTTGTAGGTGTGACCTTCCTTCCTTCTTACCTTCCTTGCTTCCCTCCCTTCGGTTAGTATGGAGCAGCAGGCCTCTTCCTCTGCCCCACTGACCCTCTGCTTTCTGGGAGTCCCAAACTCTGTGCAGAGGCACAGTCATCCAATTAAATAATTGGTTCGCTGGTGCCCACCTGTCTTGGCTGGGGACATTTGAGATTGGACATATATGCTCACCTGCACGCTAGACACACACTAAGATACTGACACATGCACACTCTTATACCTCTTCACACACTCACTGGAGTTATGGAGGCTGCACCAACAACACACTCAGCCATGCCACAGCCTGACTATCCACTGGCCCTACCTCCGCTCTCAGGCCGACCCTTGGACAGACCCAAGCACCCTTGCTCATTCTAGCATGTGTGCCAGAAAAGGGAAGCAAAGTCTGCTGTTATAGCGCTTTAGTGAAGGGGTCATGGGCCCTCCTGCACACACGTTTGCACACACATCTTCACTTGGCTCTCTCGATCTTTCTTCCAAGTTCCTTTCTGAGTCAAAGGAAGGGAAATCGAGTCTGAGCTCTCCTGGCGCTGTCGAAGGAGAAGCTAGACTCCAGCGAGCACGGGCTCCTCAGAAAGTAATGGAGACCTGGACTCCACGGAGGGCCAAGCAATGCCCGGGGATTCCCACAGCTCAGCTCCACAGCCCTGCCTGGCCTTCCGCCGCTCTCACCTCGACCCTAGCCTCTCCCCAGCCCAGCGAAGATGAGACCTGGGACCCGCGACTGAAGGGTGGGGAGTCAACCGGTGGCAGGCATGAAAAGCCCACCTTCTATCGTTGTCTGGGGGCGCGGTCCCTGTGTGAAGGCCTCAGAGCCGCAGGGGAAACGGGAGTTTTCTACCTATCAAGTCTCGGCCTCACTCCACCCTCCCGGCTCCTGGACCCGGCTATCTGTCTGCACCCCTGTTTTCCCCGTCCCGGCGAGTGCAGGTCATTCCATCAGTCCCCTTGCCTCCCTCTCTCCGGCTCCTTCGCTACAGTCTTGGCTTTGCTCTCCCTGGAGCTCCGGGAGGGGCCTGAAGTCTGGGTTCAAGAGTGTGGCTGGACTTCTGAATCTGGGGGCGAAGGTGGAGCACCGAACCCCAGGCCTGAGTCCCCGCCTTCAGCCCCCCACCCCGCCAAGCACCCGAGCAAGGCCAACCTCCAATTTTCTGCTAGGTCTCGTCGGAGTCGCCTTCCTGGAGCATTTTTGTTATTGATCTCGCTGAAAGAGCTGGAGCGCGAAGGCTACGCTTCCCTGGGGACCGAGAGAGAGAGAGAATTGGAGGCGGGGTGGGGGGGAAGGGGAGTAGGCTGGCGGTCGGGGGGAGGGAGTAATAAACTTCAGAAGACGTAGGGCGTTCCTCAATACCCCAGGGCAGCACCAGCCTTCCTCTGCGGGCTGGGAGTGGGGCTTGACTAGGGGGTGGAGGAGTGGGGCTCCCGCGCCCCCGCGCCCCAGCCCAGCCCGCGCGCGTATTGCCGAAGCGCGCCGCCGCGAATTGGAGCTCCGCAACTCGGGCCCAATCAGCAGAAAGGGGTGGAGCAGCTGGTGGGGGCGGGGCCGGAGGAGTCAGAGAAGTCGGGCGGGGGGCGCAAGGGGAGGGGAGCAGCGGGCTTGGCCAGCCCTGGCTGGCCAGGCGTTTGCGAAAGCGGCGGTGGCGGCCGGCATGGGCGATGGGGGCACTGAGCGCGACCGTGGCCCCACACGCCGGGAGTCGCGCGACGGTCGCGGCGCGGACCGCGGCGGAGCCGAGGACTCGAACGCCGATGCTGGCGGCCGCAGCCCAGGGGAGATTGCCGGGACCTCAGCCGCCAGCCCCGCGGGCTCCAGGGAGAGCGGTGCCGACAGCGACGGGCAGCCCGGGCTTGGCGAGTCAGACCATTGCCGCCGCATCCTGGTGCGAGGTAAGAGGACGACAGCTCGTGGCTCTGGACTACTGGACCCCCACCCTACTCCTGCTGGGGTCTCCGACCTTCCTGCAGCCTCCACTTCCCTATTCAGTCAGTCATCATTCAGTCCATTCATTCAGTAAATATTGAGTGTCTATTGTGTGCTGGACATTGATCTGAGTGCAGGGGACAAAGCGGCGAATGGGACCGAAGAGATCCCCGTTTCACCGCCTTACAATTCTCAGCGTCTCGGGCCAGCCCCTCACCCGAGGCTCATCTGGCCGGTTGCTGTAGCAGCGGCAGGGGTGGGAGCTAGGGATGCAAAGTCAGGTCCCCGCCCCGCGTCCCTCGCGGCAGGTGCGGAGTAAAGCGTCACGAGCGCTCCGCGGGGTCAGGACGAGGAGGGACCAGAGTCCGGAACCGCGGTCTGGTGAGGAAGGCCCGGGCTCCGCTCAGCGGCGGGGGCGCGTCCTCGCCTCCTGCCCAGCCTTGTTTTCTCTTCCCAGCGACGCAGACAGCACCGGTTGCTCTCGAGAGAGGGCACCGGGACGCGAGGGGGTGGCTCGCGGGGCGCTCGCCCGCCTTTGCTTCGCTCTCTCGGTACCCACTTCCTCGCGGCGCCTGGGCCCAGCCAGCTCCTGGTGCGGCCTTCTCCCGGCCTGGCTTTTCGCGTCTCTCCCTTCCTCCCTCGCCCTTTGCCCTCCTTTCTTCTTTCCTGGCCGTTTCTCTCCGCCGAGCTCGCCTTTCAGCACTCTCTTCCTGCAAGCTCCTGTAGACTGCGCCCGAGTACCCAACTGTCCCTGGCCTTCTCCCCGCGAGAATAAGGCTATTCTGCCCCGCCATGCCAACCTCAAGCGAAGCTCTAGGCTCCGCTTTCGCCGGATCCGGGCTTCGCCCAGCGAGATGGGAGGAGAAAGGAGATTCCGGCGTCTTGCTCTCGGCTCGCTTCTAGGCCGCGGCCAGAGCCTGAGGTCTGTTTCTCCGAGCATCCTAGAGCCCGAGACCGGGAGACCCAGCGCCCAGAAGAGGCCACTCGCGGGTAACGGTTTGCCTGGCCTCCTCTAACTCCTTCACCCGCCTTCCTCCCGCTACCTTTTCCAGCCTCTTCTATCTTAAGCGCCCGTTCTGCCAGCTGCGGGGCCCAGGCGTTTCCTGGGCCACCGCCTGGGGAAGGGGAACCAGCCTGATGCCGGCTAGAGGTCGCTCCAGCTTCGGGATCCCGAGTTTGTCTGATCTGACCCGGGGGCTACGCACACACATACTGGGACACCTCGGCAGGGTGACGCACAGCCTCCCCACAGCTGCTGAGTTTGAGCGGCTCTGGGTATGGGGACAGGGTTAGGGTAGAGCTTGGAGGTAGCCTAGTGTGAGAGTTGACTGATAACTGTCTTGGACACAGACTCAGGGATCTGGGTCTTGGGAAACACTCCTGGTAACAGGTGTAGTCACCTAGAGATGGGTGCCCAGTGCTGTTATGGGGGACAGGCCTGAGTTACAGGACAGGGCATGGGGGCGATCCCCACCCAGCAGGGATTTCAGCAGGTGTGTGGACCTGTTTGGCACCTGGAATTAAATTAGATCCCATTCTATAGACTGTGGGGTGTTCTGGGTGCAAGGCATTAGCAGTCAGCTTGGAGGTCCATTAAGGAAATCTGCAGGGCTTCCAGAAATGGAGAAATCAGTCCCCTAAGCCCATATTACCATGCTAAGACCCTGAGTCCTTGCCTGTGACACTCATCGCCTCACACACCATCAATGGGTGCGCATTTCCTTCCGCCTGCACAATTGCAAGTTCTATGCCCATCTATCATCCCTCCCATTCTATGAACTCTACATGTAGAACAAAATAATTTTATGTATAGATATCAGTTAAATAACTCCCAGGTGTTGACTCATCAAAGGTAGGAGTCAAAAGCGACCCTCCACTCTGTGGATTTCAGGCCACCCATGCTAGGAGCAATCCACAGAAAGGTAGAGTGGACTTGTGTGCATTGTCAGGGCGTGTACTTTTATAAATGCATGTATGCACATACAGCAATGCTGTAATATTTGTACAATATAATGGAAATACAGCACAGAGGGCATATTTATGCAGCTAAAAGAAATAAAAGGGCCCTCATAAATCCCTCTGCCCTTTCCCATTTAATGATAAGGTTATTATAGCCTGAGAAACTCAGGACGTCATTTACCACAAATTCCTCCCAGCCAGGGTCACCTGCGTCACTCCCGGCCCCACTGGGGCCCAGGGCAGAAGCTCTGACAGATGAAAGACCCAGCACTGATGAAGAGAAATTAGCAGTGCCTTAGCCCCAGGATGAATGTCCCTCCAGTACGCTCTAAGCAGAGGGTACATTTTGCCCTTGTCCCCTGAACACGCATCTTCCCTAAGTATCTTTAGATAAAATCATAAAAAGGTGGAAGGAAGGCATTTGCCATTGCAGCCGTAGGGTTGCTGGTGGGTGTGGATTCTGGGAAAGAGCTCCACTCTCTCTGGGTCTTTGCCCTTCTTTCTGCCCCTTTTCCACTCTGAACTTACTCCTCTGAGGGCCCCACCCCAAGGCAGCAGATCTGTGTTGGGGGAGTCGCATGGCACAGGGGAATAAAAGAAAAGCTTGGGCACTAGAATTAAGTCAAGTTGCTTTGGAATACCAATCTTACAGCCATTTGAACTTGAACCAATTATTTTTCCTCTCTGTGCCTCAATATTCTCATCTGTACAGAGAAACCCATTGTTCTTTACCTTAAAGGGCTGTGCTAAGGGCCAGAGGTGATGTCTACAAAACTGCAAACACCCAGCAGAATCTTCGTAAATATTCCATTGAATGAAAAAAGGGGAGCTCTAAGGTGACCCACAAACCAGGGCCTCCTTCCTCAGACATCCCCCAACATCCCACCCTGTAGAGAGCAGGTCTCCTTTGGGTCCTGAGCCCAAGAGAGTTGGAAGGTGAGCAGTCAAGGGGTCAGAACAGGCTGATGAGAGGAGGATCCAAGACACCTTGCATACCACACCTGCGACTCCTCCAGTCCCCTTCAGGAATCCTCATTCAACCAATCACTCAAGTTTCCAGCTTCTTCCAAATGCAGGTCAGGGAGCCCGGGAGGCCGACATTGCTGCATCCCCCTCCTCCCCCGCCTCAAAATGGAGGCTATTTCAAGCCACACAGGGCACAAACAATGCTACAGGGACAACAGGGACCCCGCACACCCCACGCAGACACAGCTAGGCTTCTGCCGAGGCCATACAGCCGCGCAGGCCGCTCCACACCTCTGCATGCACGGTCACTGGCCGGTGAGGGATAGGGACCGGGGATCCTTTTGTTTTATGTTTGTTAAGGGAGTGCCAACCACGGACAGAAGGCAGCGGAAGGAACAGGCCGCCTCCCTGCTGGGGCTCTAACGGCACCGGGCGGGCGCGGTGCAATGGCCTTTTCGGTGGAGCCGGGATCCCGGCAATCACAAGAGGTGGGACAACTCTCATCCAAAACTCTCTGTAACCTCCCAATCTGCGATCGCACCCGCACACTCAGATACGCCGACATGATTCCCAGATCAACAGGGACGCATATTCAACAACCTGTCTGGATAAAGCCTGGAATAGCCGTCTGCCAGCGTCACCCAAACGACGCGTGGTGCCGGTCCCTGCTCACGCGACGCGGTCCCTTGGGCCTGCAGGTCTCAAAATTCCATTCGGGCCGCACCCTCTGCCCCCAGACTCTGTTGCCATCTTGGCTCGGATTCGGCAGGACTCAGAGGTTGCCCCCTGAGAGCTCCGCCTGGGCTTGAGACCTGCAGCGCTGGGCCCCTGGCTCTGCATCCCTCCGTCTGTGAGCAGGAGGGCAAGAAAATTGCTGGATCCTTTGACTGAGTGAATGGCTGCCCGCTCTCCCTCCTCCCAACACCACTCACTACCCATTAGCCGAACTGCTTTCACCTGGAACCTTAAAGATGTGCTCCGCGGCTGGGGACGTGGAAGGACGCGTGAAGGCCAGGGCCTCTGGCTGCGGCTGGATAATTCTTGCTGTGGATGTGAGGAGGGAAAGGAGGGCATTGAATTTAGTGGGTCCGCCCTCCCTGAGAATCCGTGCTCCAGAAGCACGCAGGTCCAAACATTTACAGACAGCAGAATGGCGGGGCCCCAGCAGGGCCCTGGATGCCACAGATGCAACTGAAGACGCCTGGCAAGGGGCCACAGCTTAGGGGGCTTGAGCTGGGAGTGGCCTGTGGGAACAGACTCCCCCTCCAGCAGCCAAGTCTGGACTGGACTAAGCATCGCCCCGCGTCTGCTAGCTTTCTACTTGGATTTACAGCAGCCACTGGACCTAGGGAAACTCGGCCCAGACCTCGCAGGCCTCACGCCATAGGTCACAGCAGCTCACAAGGCAAACTTGGTGGGCGTTGTGGCAACAGAGAAGGTGGGCACGGTGTTATATAGGAATGAGCGAGCACTGAACCTGGCGCTTCGGCCCTCGGCGGACCACAGCCTCAATATCTGAGTTTGTTAGTAGATGCGTTAATCCAGGACCAGCGCCCCAGGCAGTGGCTGAAAAGTTTAAATTGTTCATTCAGGGACTGCACTTTGGGATTTTTTTAAAATTTAGTTTGGGGGTTCGCGGGGGTATTGGGTTTCTTTTTTATTTTCCTGGGATTGTTTTATTTTGTGTTTGTTATGTTTTTCCTTTTGCTTTGTTTGCTTTTGACAGAAGGACGCCCATTCTCCTTGCAGGTCTATGCTAAGTTCTATCGTTTTGGTCTTTATTTTTCTCTTTATATACATCCCCCCCCCTACACACACACACACGCACACACACGCACACACAGAAGCAGAGCGGTAACGAAATGGGTAGCCTTGTTGATGTGTCTGTGTGAACTGTATTCATTTTCAGGGAACTGTGCCGGGCATTAGCGGCTCCTCGTGTTCTCATGCTAGTTCTGCCGCCCTGGGTGGTCGCTTGGCCTTGGGTGCCTGTAGACTCACTGCTGCTTCCCGAACACACAGATACCTTCAGGGTGGGAAC